TATATATATATATATATATATATGTATGTATGTGGATTTTGTTTGTATGGTCGACTAAAGATTCTCTTAGAAAATTAACTAATATCAAATCAAATTTTGACTCAGATCATGCTCAAATCAATATAATGAGCTTTGTCGAACTCAATTTGAGGATCACGCTAACTTGTAGCCAAGCTTAGCTCTGCTTGAGTTGGATCTGCCTAGATTAGTTCATTCACTATCCTTTAAATAGCAAAAGTTGAATATTTAAATTCAATATTTATTTTTCTCATGCATTATCAATAAATTAAGTATGACATTTTTTCACTCTCGATGTTTCCCATGCATATTTTAGCTTTTCCTTTAACTTTCAGAGCTGACCATGCCCAAATCCGTGTTTCTGTTGTGTAGCCCAACTGCATCATACTGGCAATTTCTCCTGCCAATCAAGATATAGCAACATCTGATGCAATGAAAATTTCAAGGGAAGTCGATCCGACAGGTGAGAATGTAGTGATATCGTGCGAAACTTTATTTATTTTTTTGCAAACATTTTCTTGTTTCATCTTTTTTGATAAGTAATTGGACGAACAGGAGTTCTGAATATACCATGTTCTTTTTATCACGACCATGACTAGGTGAAAGGACTTTCGGGGTTCTTACAAAGTTAGACTTAATGGATCAAGGAACTAATGCTCTTGATGTAAGTTCATGATAAATTCTTTCTGATTTTCATACCTTTGTAGCTGGCTGAATAGATTGATCATCAGATGTCTGATTGTTGAATTCCTTCCTTTTTAGTTGTCATTTCCACAATAAGAAACATATCAAACATTTCATTAACTCTTTTTAATGGGTTATTTTAGCCCCCAAATTCTGTACCAGTGCCAATTTAGTCCCCAGACTCTTTTAATATGGGTTGGCATAGTTCCCATAGAGAACTATTTAGACACCAAATTATAGAATTTATGGACAGATTTGGTACTGTAATAAATCCTGGGACTGAAATGATGTAAACAGTAGGGATTATTTTGACATTTTGTTCTTCCACAATTGAGTACTATGATACACATTTTTCTTTCCAAACAATTGAGTAGTGCTAACAATGTTGAGGATGATTTTGATGATAACAAGCATTTATCGTCTGATTTTATTGTTTTTTACTTTTTAAGGTTCTTGAGGGAAGGGCTTACAGGTTACAACATCCTTGGGTTGGAGTTGTCAACCGTTCTCAAGCTGACATTAATAGAAATGCTGACATGATTGCTGCCAGGAGAAGGGAAAGAGAGTACTTCGCTACGAGTCCTGACTATTCCCACTTGGCAAGCAAAATGGGATCTGAATACCTCGCTACGCTTCTTTCTCTGGTAAAAAAAAAATTGTAATGTTATCAACTTTTACTTGTATTTGTATTGGAGTATCTGAAGTTTCCATTTCTGAAATATTTCTATGCTTTCAGCATTTAGAATCTGTGATCAGAGCACAAATTCCGAGTATCACTTCTTTAATTAATAAGACCGCTGAAGAACTTGAGGCAGAAATGGAGCGTATTGGCAGGCCCGTTGCTGTTGATGAAGGGGTAATATATATGCTCGTCATCATTTACATACATGTCACTAAATTCCTATGTATTTTCATATCTAAATTCTAAACTTTGGTGTTTATATTTATGCACCCAAATCTTTCATGCATAAAAAATACCACTATTTTGACTTTAAAAAGGTGAAATACACCTTTTTCATGCATAGATAAGGTGGTTTGTACGCAAAAATTGATTTTTAGGTGATAGATATGTAAATACATAAGAATTGAGTGGTATGTATGTAAATATTCCTTTAAAGTTTTTTGTGGTTTCTTTTTAGTTATAGAGGTCACTCCTATGATTTTCAGGCTAAGCTTTACACGATATTGGAACTTTGTCGATCCTTTGATCGGATATTCAAAGAGCATCTTGATGGAGGGTAAAATCCTATCCTTTCTTTCTCCATTTAATTAGCTTGCAATTTCCCATTGCCCCCAGCAAATAAATATATATTATGTCTATTATATAAAGTTTGTGAGGGATTTGATGCAATTTCGTTGTAGATTTCATTAAAAAGTTAAACTTTATATTTCCTGCTGTCTAATGAATTAGATTGTTTATTTTTCTTTGATCTATACTGTAAATGAGAATTGTTTTCGAGCAGGAGACCTGGTGGTGAGAGAATATATGGAGTTTTTGATAATCAACTCCCAGCCGCCCTTCGGAAACTTCCGATTGATAGACATATATCTATCCAAAATGTGAAGAAGATTGTCTCTGAAGCAGATGGTTATCAGCCTCATCTGATTGCTCCAGAGAAGGGTTATCGTCGGCTCATCGAAGTAGCTATTGGCCATTTCAAAGGTCCAGCTGAAGCTTCAGTTGATGCTGTAAGATCCGTTCCCTTAAAATTTTCAAATGGATTAATGATAACTTGATTGTCAATTTTTATTTGCAGGCTTAGTTATAATGATATTAAAAGTTATATTTTATAAAATTGTAGACTGGTTAGCGTCTTATATTCATTCATCTGTTTAGAAGTATTGATAGCCAAAGTTGATGTAGCAGAATGAGATTTTTATAAAAGATGAGTGATACAATTAAACTAACAGAATAAGAAATAATTATATTATTTGAATGGTAGGACTAGCATTTGTTGAAGATGAAACAAAAAAAAAAAAAGAAAGAAAATTGGTTATTTAAAGGGATAGATAAAATTAATGTCAAGGAGGTAGAACAAAAGGATATGACAAAAAAATTATATGAATATAAGTTTGTGAAAGATTAAAAAAAGGTTTAAATTCTTGGGGCATTTACATACATAGCACGCAATTCTTTTGTATTTACATATCTCACGCCCAAATCTTCATGTTTACCCGCATACCACTCATTTCTTTATCACATAAAATCTACCACTAACTATTAATGTTCACAACTCAAATCCACCTTTTCATGCATAGGTAAAGTGGTGTTCAGGTAAATATCAAAGTTTCAGTGTCAGATATGCAAATACATGAGAATTCTGTGTTATGATATAAATATCCCTAATATCTTATGCATCAGTTAACATGAGTGTACAGAATACAAAGTTCATACGGACTTGTCTAAATTTATATTGATAAAATATTGCAGGTACACCATATTTTGAAGGAAATAGTGCGGAAGTCAATTGGGGAGGCTGAGGTAAAAGCTTCAACAATGCATATTCTACAAATTGAACCAAGAAACTTACATACATACCGCACAATTATCTATTTGCATATATAACACCTAAAGTTTAGTATTTACCTTTATAACAATTTGGAATTAAAAAGCTATGTATGAAAAGTTGTATTTCATTTTTAAAAAGTTTATGATTATATATATATATATATGTCAAAGGTTTGAATGATGCATGTTAATAATCCATCATTTTTAACAACCAATTCTGAATGAATGTCCCTCACCATCAGGATCTAAGGAGATTCCCTACTTTAAAGGCTGAACTTGCAGCTGCCTCTTTTGAAGCCCTGGAAAGATTTCGTGAGGAGAGCAAGAAAACCACACTGCGACTGGTTGACATGGAATCAGCATATCTAACTGTTGAGTTCTTCAGAAAGCTTCCACAAGAGGTGGAGAAAGGAGGAAATTCCACCGCAGCCCCCACCGTCAAAGGAGGCAATCCCGCCGCAGCTGCAGCCTCCACCGTTGATCGGTATGGGGAGGGTTATTACAGGTAGGGGTTTGATTTCTTCGGTCAAAAAAAAAAAAAAAAACAAATTAAACCGAGCTCATTTGATTTATTCAGTTTGGTTTTAAATCAACGATTTGTTCTGTTTCTGATTTTTGGAATCGGTTTTAATATTCATTAAATCAAGAAACCGAAAAAATGGATAATATTAAGATTAGAAAACTAAATTCATTAAAAAAAATATAATTCCAGCATATGACATTCATTTTAGTTTAGTAGGAATTGTTTATTTTTAAAGATATCTTCAGGAGATAATAGAAGAAAAATAAAATTTTACTTTTGAAAAATAAACTTAAATATTTAAGTATTTCAGTTTGGCATACAACCAAATGCTAAACTTCCATTTGCTCCAAGCCGGACCGACTAAACATAATTACATTTCGGTTCGATTTGTGCGGATTTTAGCAAAATTTTAATCGGTTCAGTTCTTTAAATTTTGAATTTTGGTCTCATTAGGTTTGATCCATCCAAATTAACCATATGCACATCTCTATTTACAGGAGAATTGCATCCAACGTTTCATCCTACATTTCCATGGTGATGGAGACGCTCAAAATCTCCATTCCAAAATCAGTTGTTTATTGCCAAGTTAGAGAGTCGAAGCTCTCTCTGCTCAATCACTTCTACACACAAGTTGGGAGAAAGGAGGTCTCTTTTCCAGAACATAACTTTCTTTTTCTCTCCTTCCTTTCCTCTGAGTTTTTTTCTATTGTTTCATTGACATCTGTGCTGTTCAGGGAAAGGACCTTGGGAAGCTTTTGGATGAAGATCCGGCATTAATGGAGCAGAGGCAGCAGATGGCTAAGAAATTGGAGCTCTACAGAGCTGCAAGGCAGGAGATTGAGAGTGTAGCGTGGTCCAGATGAGTGCTCAGATATGGTGTCCAGTGTATTAAAACACTGATGGCGAAGGTATGGGGAGATATTTATAATAAACTCTCTCCTTATGGAATGTATAGTTTGCAGCAAAATTAGATTTTTTACGAGTTATAAGGCTGATCAGGTGATCATGTCATAGGGCAGTTTGTGTAATAAGTGAATAAAGAACTAGGTGATTTAAAAATCGTCTTTAGATAGTGGTGGAAAAGCATGGTGGTAAAGAAAGGAGCTTTGTAAAATTTTTATTTGCGACGAGTTCGTTCAGTATCATGAAAATTGATTTGATGTATATTCAAAAACAAAGATGTGTCAAAAATATGTTGATGTTATTAAATATGGATGATGGAGCGCCAATTTGTATTAAGGCTGTGAAGCTATCGAAGAGTTTTTAATTATAGTGAATTTAGTTCAAAGCTTTAATGTATATTAAGTAAGAAAGATGTACTTTAAAAATATGTTATAGCATATATATGTGCGCGCGTGCGCGCGCACACACACGCATAAAATGAGTGTCAACTTGTATTAAAAAGTTGTAAATTTTTTTTATCATAAATGTTTAGGTACAAATTATGATTGAGACTCCGTTTGGGGTAGTTACAACTTATTAAGAAACTGCTGAAATTACAAAAGCATAATATGATATTACAAAAAGCTATGATGACTTACATTTTTTTTTTTTTTTAAGTCAGACAGCAGCTAAAAAACTGCGCCAAAATCTCTAAGCTTATGTTTTCTGGCATGGGCTAGTATAATTTTGCAATTATATATATTGGCTCTAACCTTTTTCACTGTTCTACTTATGATACATTTTCTAAGAAAAATGAAATTTTAAAATAAACGTAGAAAATAATTCTTTGATTTGAAAGTTTTAGCTATTTTAAACTTATTATAGAAACTTATAAAGAAGAAAAAAAAGTCCGGTGATGAGAAGAATTTGTAGAGATTTAAAAAGGCAAAATTATAAAATGATAATAAAGCTAATAATGCAATATGAACTGTCTCAGGCACTAGACTTGAGCATTAAGCAAATTTTGTTAACTTGGATCAAAGGAATGAAAATTGTCCGTTTGATCTGACCCATTAGTTGGACTGAACATTTGAGCTCCCCTTCGAGTTTGATTTAAGCCAACTAATATGCAACAAAAATAATATATAAGCTCTAGTTTTACCAAACAATTCATTTAAGAAACTTTAGATGAATTGCAGGAAGAGATGGCTAAAGAGAAATCATGCATTTTTCATATATTATATGAAAAATAATAATTACTATTAATTTTCAAGATAAATATATATTTTGATGTCTAGTTTAATAAAACAATACCACTAAATTTAAAGCACAAATACAAAAGAATTGTGGTATTTACGCAAATCCCTCCATATTTTGGCTGGCAAATGCAAGAAAAACATAATCGATAAGATAGAATTTATCATCAATAGAAATGTTCTACAAAATAAATACAGCTTGAAGCAGAAAAATTACTTTTTTATAATTTTCTTAGAACAATAAATCACTGATAACTTCCTCCTGAACACACAATAAATTTGAAGCAAAAAAAAAAAAAAAACACACCAACCACTAATTCATCAGCCAATATATTACCGCAAAATACCTGTTCCGAGGCTAATTTAAGTTGGGACATTTACATACAATACCACAAAATTCTTAAGTATTTACTGATCTAACACCCAAAGTTCACCTTTTTACTGTATTTTCTTATGTATTTACTAATATTCACCTTTTTACGCATGTGTTTATAACACCAAGGTGTTATACATGTAAATAACAAACGTTGTCTTAGATATGTAAATCTGTAAGAATTGTATGGTACGTATAAAAACAACTAAAAACAGCAATTATCAAGTATAGAATTCCAAAATCCTTCAACAACTTTTAGCAGTACTCCTGAAAGCGTTTTTAAGAATTTGAGGAGAAGAAAAAGTAAATCAGAGTGCATCGTATATAGACCAACAGAGCAAAAAAACAATTGACATTATCAACCAATTGAATCCAAAACCTGAAAATATTAAAAACCAAAGAGACTGCAAACAAATAATTATATAATTGCACAACACATAAACTCTTCCAAACCAAAACGGGTTTCTAATAAGAATCTCTCATATACACAAACATAAAGCTACTGTTAAAGAAAGCAAAAAAAAAAAAAAAAAAAAAAAAAACCAGAGTTTTTATTTAAAACCTGAAGGAGGGGCACTAAGACATCTCACGGAATCTGGCAATGGCCTTCTTCTGAATGATTGTCTTGTAGCTGTCCCCAGGCTTAGCCTCCAAGGCATTATCCACAACTTTCCTCTGCTGGCTCCCCAATCCAGCTCTATCGTCCACAGCTCTGGCTTGAACGGGCTCTTTAATACCGCTAGCATCTTTTCCAAGTCCCTAGATGTTTTTATTCAATGTGCCAAACACAGAAGAATAGTTCAAACAAATGAGAGATACATAAAAGTTTGCATCCTTCACCGTTTTTAATAAAGGTAGATTTACATGCTACCACAAAATTTCTATACATATTTACATAGCTAACAACTATAGTTCAGTTTTGGATGAGGATACAACCTTACCAGTGCATGAAAAAAGTTTATTTCGCTTTTTAAAGGTCAAAATGGTGGTCTTTTTTTTATGTGGTATGTATGTAAATGTATTAACAACAAGATCAGCATTAACTAATCTTAGCCTCAGCAACTGAACATCACAGATGAAAACTCTTATGGTATAAAGATTTGATCATCAACATTCAATGAAAAGACTGTTGTGTCCACAACAACCATGCCACAGTGAGCTTTTAATGGAAGCTAGTCTATGGAGGTGGGGCACTGTCTCCCTGTTTCCCCCAAGTTCGGATTATAACATTTCTTACCTAAAATGCCACCCAATGCCCCTAATCCCATCACACCCTCACTTAAACAAGAACATAATGAACCCTAAGGCCAAATCCTCTCAAAACACATATGGGAATCAATATATGCATCAAGGAACTCATTTAGGCTTTAATAATCCATACTTCCCATCTCTATCCCCAAAAAATGTTATGGGTTCAGCTAATTCACCTCGTCTGTCTCTCCCTCCCTCTATTTTAGTATCACTTCAGAGCAGAACAGTTCATAATATGAGTAAAATCAAAGTAGAGAAAACCGTTAAGAGTGGCACAAGTTTGGCCCAACGGAGCTCTTTCGTTTATAGCATGATATTGCAACTACATACATACATGCCTTTTAAGACTGATGAATAATACAGCAAGATTTTGCAGGTATTGGCAATTCTCACTCTAATCCACGTAACCGGAAACTTATGTTTATCTTTCAAGTAATGTCAAAAAGGTCAATTGACTGTTTATAAAGTTTATAAAAATTTCAAATTACTCCTAACTTTTTAAATTCGAATTGAAATAGTACTCCATGAGAACTATTTCAACCCATATTAAAAAAGTGATGACTAAATTGAAATATTTATAGACCATGCGATTAAAATGACCAATTGCAAAGAACTAGGAGACTATTTTGACACTTCTCTATTTATCTTTTTAACTAGATATTGAGCATGGACCCTCCAAAATCAAAGCAAAATGAGTTGATCTAGATCAGCATAATTGAAAATTTGAAATTATTAAAATTTAACGTTTTCACAATGATTTTTCATTGCCATAAGTTTCTGAGGTAAATTAAAAGTCAAAGGCAACAATACGAAAGATAAATAATAATGCAGCTTACGAAATCAAAACCATTAGTGATATTCTAAATATGAGTTTGGATATGCATGGTCATTCCAATTCATTTAGCTTAAGATATAAATCCATAGATCCTAATGCGTCATATTTACACTAAGAAAACAATTCAGTTCTTGGACAGATACAAAGTAAACTTTCACAGTGACATCTTCAAAAAAACACCAAATAATGTTTCTTAGCACTCATTTGGTTGGTCGAAGTTAGAAAAATAACTTCCAAAAACAATAACTCTCTTCGTTTGGTTAGATGGAATGTAATTGAAAACAATTATCAGTTTCAAACTCTAAAAACAACTTCAAAACCCCTCAAAAGTGATAATTTCATTTTTCATATGCGAAATGATTGAAATTTAAATCTGAATATTCCAAAATATTTTTTTCTGCAAGCAACCAGTTGAGCCCTTCAAGTAAACAAAGATGAATGCACTCACTTTGAATTGAAAAACAGGTGGATGGAGGATAAAAAAATGCACCAGATGTTGCAACAATCCTAATAAAGAAAGGAAGATTTACATAAAGACCGCTCAATTCCAATGTATTTATATATCCAACAACTCAAATTCAATTTTTACATATAAGCCGCTTTATCTATACATGAAAAGGTGTATTTCACCTTTTAAAAGTTAAAACAGTGGTATTTTTTATGTGTTATGAAAGATTTGGGTGAAAATGTTAAAGGTAAAGTTTACGTGTATGAATATATAGGAATTGGGTGGTATGTATGTGAATGCCCCATAAATAAAAACACCGCCACATTTACAATTACGGGTAAGTTATAACATTTCCCTACTATCAAACAAACCAAAATAAAAACAAAAAAGGAATACTAATTTACAAAAAAATGAGAAGGTAGAAAGTACCAATCCTTCCTGCCAACCCATGTTGCGAAGCATTCGATTCCCAACATTGTTCTCGTCAATCATGCGATCCGCAGTAATCACCTCATAGCTTGGTAGTTCACGCAAAGGATGCTCTCCACCCACTCCAGGGGGAAAAGGCATTGCTCCCATGTCCGCCAAATGGCCTTTCCGAGATGGATTATCACAATCTTGACAAACAAATGAATTTCTCACGAAGTTATTAAAAATCCAACAAATACCTCTTAAACTACCAACCAGTGAATTTGGCCTAGCCTAATTCTTACATTCTATAAAATACTGGCATTTACATACATACGATCCAATTCTTATGTAATTACATATCTAGCATCTAAACCTTAATTATTACATTTAAACCACCCAAATCTTCCATATCACATAAAAAATATCGCCATTTTAAAAATTAAAAAGTGAAAGACACCTTTTCATGCATAGGGAAGGTAGCATGTATGTAAAAATTGATAGCATGTATGTAAAAATTGAAGTTAGGTGTTAGATACGTAAACAAAAAATAAGTAGTGTGTATGTAAATACTCCTAAAGCATATGAGCAATAAAATGCATGAATAAAGATGAGATTTCCAACAGAAGAATCAAATATATACATTCATCATTAAATTAGTTGTCTATTTGCCTGATCCGTGCATACCTATGATAAACTCAAAGTAACTACAATGGTTAATAAATACTAATACATTACGATATTCACATTAAATGATATTTTGCATGTATAATGAAAATTGCTAACCCTTACTCGAATCCCCAAGCCCGTCAGATAAATCATCACCAAAAGACGATCCATATCGGCTTCTCCTCTCAGCTGCCCGATCTCTGTAAACAATTTGAGGCAGATTAGTTTGCACAGGGGTCTCCGAAAATCTTCGTTTGCCACTCCCCGCTACCACAGGTGTGGGCGTGTACGAACTCAATGCGGATGCATCCGTCTTAAATGGTGTAATTGTCGATGCAGACTCAGTATTTCGCAAAGAAATCCTCTCAGCAGCCGCAGAGGAAGGTGGCGAAAGAGTAGCAGCACCAAAACCTGAGGATCCTGAAAATGTTGTGTCAGCTCTTATCACACCTCTTCCAGATCCTCTGATGACACCCATTATGGCTCCACTGGAACAATTACTAGCAGGCCTCGGCTTGACCGGAGAATCTATGGCAACACTAGAGATACTCGAAGCCTCTTTTAAAGAAAAAGAATTTATTTTTGACTTTGTTTTCCCGGCATATGAACTACTCTGTTTATCATCTGTTAACCCAGGCTGTTCGTTGTCTTCAAGAACGATTCGAGCAGCCTGGCCCTCACTATTTCGCTGTTTCCAGATTGCGAGAACATTATTCATCTTCTTTTTGCTGGCAAGAAGATTGTTCTTAGATGCCAACTTAATTTCTTTTTGCTTTTCCTTTTCCTTCTTCTCCGCGGCGAGAGCAGCAGAAGCAGCAGCATGCACAGCATCAGGTAATGAGGTGGTTTCATTTGATTTTATGGTGGATGCAGGGGCAGATATTACAACTTTTTTAATGTTGGTGTTATTCGATGCCTTTGTACTTTCAGATGTTGATTCTCCGGAAGTCTTACCATTGCCTTGGTTAGCCCAAGGAACATACTGCTGACTTTGATGATCATATGAATACCAAATTCCATTATTACCATCATAATAAAGGCCTGCGTAAATAGAAAAAAAATAGATGAATAAAAATACGAAAAAGATGACTTTATTTATCAAGAGATGATAATGGGGCAAACTGGGAATACAAAACAAAACTAACCGGTATTTCCGTCATAGTAAAATCCAGATGATGCATCATAGTAGTAACCAGATTTCTCATCCCAAACAAAACCAGCCTGCGGAGCTGAACCACCCATTTGAGATTCTGTAGCTCCATTTTGCTCAGACGCAGAAGCAGCGGATTGCTGTTTATCATCAGGATTATATTCTTTAGGTGCCCAACCAACAGCATCATACTGAAAGATGAAGACAAACAATTTTTAGCACTCAAAAATTAGTATTTCAACCAGACAATTCAGAACCTATGGTGGTTACAAAATAGGAATGTAAGCACCAGAGTTCAACTTCTGTATCAAAATATCAGCCCATTTAAATAGGATCATGCACCTAAAATAATAATAACAAGAAAAAAATAATAATAATAACAACAACAACAACAATAATAATAATGAGATCTACATACATGGAACTGAATTCCTATGTATTTACATATATAACACTCAAACTACCTAACCATCAAAAGGAATATTTCACTTTAAAAGGTACTTGAAATCTTGAAACTTGATGATGTTGCAGAGAAAAAACATCAAGGTGACTTTAGAGCATTCAAAAGAAAGAATATCAGAGAAGACCATAACAAAGAGAGATGCTAAATCTAAGCCATAAATACGATTTTTTTTCTAGGAGTAATTAAAGGGGAAATTATAAATAATTTTATAGAATTATATATACTGGGATTGAAATAAATATGGCTTAATCGAAGCAAACTTGAGGTAAGCAGAAATTTTCTTCTTCTCGTTTGTAAACCTCAAACTTAAAAGGCATGGAATTTTGAGCAGTGGAGGCCATGCCCACATACTTGACAAGGAGAATAATTTATATTCAATATAATTTAAGAAAGCTCATAGTTCTGTAAAGCTCAGTAGATAAGCACGAGATCACTGTGGGATCAATAAGAATGTTATAAGTACAGTGATTATGAAAATAGGGAAGAAAACATTTTCTAAGGGGCCGTTAAGTGTTAAAGATCTCTTCTTATTTCTATTCTTTGCTTATATTTCAATATGAAATAAGAATATGTTTGGTTTTAATATTATTATTTATTGAATATTGCATAGATAAAATTATTTTAAATTTTGGAAGATGGTGATGCTGACACGACCAGAAGTGTTGGTGGACCAAACAAAGAGGTTCACAACTTTGGTGTAGGTTAGCATGGACGGGGAGGATGGATAGTAGTGGGCAAAGGGTTGGTTGGTAGCGGAGGCAGATTTCATGGGGGTAAGAACTAGGTTGGCTGGTGATGGGGAATCAACAAGCATCAGGTCAACCAACTGTGGACACGAGTTTGGCTGGCATGGTTTATGAGGTTAAGTGGTTAATTATTCACTCTTTAAAAGCAATGAAAGCAACTAAAAGTTTTTTAGTGTATTTAAAAAATAGCTTAATCTGTATTTCAACAAAAAAATAATTAAATTTATCAAACTTTTTTTGCAAAAACAGAGTACAGAAAAAAAAAAAAAAGTGACACCAAACAGGCCCCTAGTTTTCATACAAATTTCCTTTTAGATTTAAGCTATATCAAAATTTTGAGAAGAAACAGATGGGTGGAAACTACTGGTTAAACCAAAAAAATGACAAGTGTAGAAAAACCAAAAAGATAGAATTTCATGATCAGCACTACCCGGATGAAAATGTCAACTTATTCAAACTTGATATCAGTTACCAACCTGAAGTACTTGAAAATTATATCATCATCCGTTTGGCACAAATAAATGAAATTGAAATAAATGAAAAACCCAACTGGTTAATGCTTTAAAAGAACCTGTTGAGCAAATGTTGCTGCCTCAATTGCAGCTGCAGCTAGACTGCTCGATTGTGGAGCACCAGATGAAGGACCATGAATGCTTTTTGCATAAGCTACACGTAATATTTGTCCATTCTTTTCAAGGGTTAATCCATTAGTTGCTTCTAGAGCTTTTGTGGCATCTTCCACCTGATACCGATGGCAAAGTAAGAATGCCAATGAGTTTGAAGTCAAGTTAATGGTGTATCTATTCTGTATGAACATTACCGAATGAAAATGTAAAAACGCAAATCCTCTGGAGACATGGGTAAATTTGTCCCGAACAAGGCGTAGATCCTAAATAAAGTTAAAAAGTAAGAACCTAAACGTCGAAAAAGAAAAACATTAGCTTAATTTATTATACAATTACTACTTTTATAGGAGCATGCTTAGAAAACTCGTAGCGAAGCATTTCTTCATCAGCATTATCGTCTAGTCCACGGACAACTAAAACATGAGTTGGGCCTGCAAACAGATTCCAGATAAACCAGTGAAGATTTAATTTGTAATAAGAAAATAGACTGCAAAATAAACAAAAAAATACCAGCATCTGATCCTTTTCTCCCTAGCAATGCTGGAGGCGTCATATCAGCCGGAGGAGCATCATCAGTACGAGGCTCATTGCACTAATCGTAGAAGAATCCGAGATTGAATAAGAATGTAAAAAAAAAAAGACAAATATAATGTTTCTACTCAAGCAAAAGTAAACTATTCACCAAGAAACCTATAAGTATGAATGATCATTTACTAATCAAAATGTTTGCAAAAATGATGCAGAATCCCAATATGTTCATGTTGTATAGTAAGATTCATTGTCAACAAGCCTCAATAATGAAACCATAAACATTTCTAACCAATAAGTTAACGGATAGGACACAAAATATACATGGCCCTATACAGATTTTATATCACATATCACTAAAAACCCTATACATAAATAGTTGCAAGGTTCTTGAGTTCAAAAATCATACAGAGAACAGAGCATTTGTCTAAAACAATAGTTAGAACTGTAATTTGTTGAAAGTATGACACCATCGAAATAAAAGCATTTATCATAAACTCCTGAATATTATTCCAATTTGAAAATTCTATATAATTACACAACCCTCCAAATTAATATGTAACTCGCATTTTCCATTCAAATAGTCAAAAGGTCAAAACTTTGCATACAGAAATCTTCCAAAAGAAACGCGCTCTGGTGTTTGATACCAAGATAAATAAATAGCAATCCTTTCACCGTATAAAAAAAGATGGATTACTACAAATATGCAACAAAAAATCCAAATTTACAATAACTTAGGTTTACTTCATCTACTCCAATAGCACAAATCAAACACAAGTTAGAACAACAAAACATATTGCCACAGAACCAATAATATATTGAATGAACCAAACAAAAGGAGATAACAGAATTTACTATAAGAATAACGTTCTAAGCTATATCTATCGTCAATGTATTTGTCATGCCTTCTTTGGCATTCGGCTGACCTAAAGTTACGTAAAAGTGGAAAGAGATTTATAAAGATATATCGTCGTTAAGTTTATCCAACAGTTATATTTTCAATTATGTTTTCCCATAATTCGCTCATCATGTGGCTTCAACTAGTAATAATCTTATATAAATTGTAGTGATAATCTTACATACATTGTAAGCTTACAATTTGGCAGGCAATAAGAAAAAAAAAATTAAAATATCCATACATCAAAACCAAAGCATATTTCTGGAGCAGATAAAAAAAAAAAGGGGCAGCAAAGGAAACAAATCAATGCGGGGCAGCAAAGGAAACAAATCAAAACAAATCAATGCTGAATGCAAAAAGCAAACCTGAAAACAAGATGTTCGGCGCGCAAAATTTACACAACCACAAATGGTACAAATCCAATCGGACGGAGGAGCAGATCTGCTATATCCATAACCAGATTTTGCAACGGCTTCTTGGCGTAGAGCAGGTGCGCCCGCCCCCCCTGTTGGCTTACTACTGCAGCACAAATTCATCAGCACAAAGTACTGAAATTTCACTCCATTTTTCATTTTTTTCTTTACTTGTGCAGTGGTGATCAGAATGCTATTAATAGCAAAGATGGGGGTAAAAATATCCAATATCAGGCAAAATTAAACAATTAATAGTAAATGCTAGTGAGAAAAAGTTATAAGCAATATTAAACATTCATATAGCCAACTCCATAAATTCACAATCTTTACCTTGATTTATAAAATACATATTTATAACTCCAAAAATCACTTTACAACTGAACATCTTTTTGGTTGATTTATTACATAAATCACCAACAACATATAATGTAGGTCGTGTAATTTAAGTATGACGTATAATTTGTAATTCATGTGAAAAATAATGGAAAATAAATTAGTTTTTTATTTGTATTGGTGTCAAGCCACAACTAGAAACAAATTGGCAACCCAATAACTTCAGAATTCCATCACTCCAGCAAAAATGCATGCCCTTTACAATATCACACAACCAGAATTGTTCACTTATAAATAAACCAACTATAAACCAACGAACTGTGCTCCTCTTTAACAATTCCTAAACAGAAATCATCCTACAATGTGCAGCTGTACAGTTTACCATTTTCAAAGCACTCTTCATGTATTGAACTCACAAATCTTTAGCAAAAATCAATTTTATGCAATCAACTCACCCAAATTCCATACACTAAAATACATTGTGCTGGGATTACCAATGAATTTCTTTTCTGATTATCAATAAAATTACAAGATAGCCCATTCCTAAAATACCTTTTATCTCATGTTGATAGAATAGCACAATTCTAACGTACTGCTCCAAAGCATGATGAATCGAGAGGAGACATAAGCATGATGAATCGAGAGGAGCATGTATTTCATTGAAGTGAGGTGCACAGTATACAGAATATTTTTTTACATGAGATCGGAAGTAGCAGCAGCAGTATCAAATAAAAAACTGAATTAAATGTAAGTTGAAACCAAAAATGGGAAATCAACATAAGTAGAACACAATTCTTCTGTATCTACATATCCCACACCTAAACTTTCATATTTACATATATATCACTTTGGTGTTTAAAACCTATGCATAAAAAGGTGTATTTGACTTTTATAAAGTAGAAATACTGCAATTATTTATGTTATATTGAAGATTTGAGACTTACATGTGTAAATATGAAAGTTTAGGTGTGAGATATGTAAAAAGATAAGAATTGTGTGCCATGTATATAAATGCCCCAAAAATAAATAGTTATAGCATGGCTCAATTAAGCTCCTAAAGACATAAGCGTTCCATATATTATTATTTCTCCCATGATGCAACATGGAAAAACAATGGGAGAGCATCGTAAAAAGAATAAGCACAAAGAAAAAATTAAGCAAAAAGTAGCAGCATAGCACATATAGGAAGCAAGGAGAAATGTGAAAACACTGTTACCAACACTTTACAAACACAAAATTTCATATTAACCTCCACTTGGTAACCCTATGCAAGCCACAAACAGCCCGAAATGCACAGGTATAACGTGGACCCACTTGAGCTCAAATAACAGCAAACTGGAGCAGAATTTAGAACCAAGAACCATGGATCAAGAAAACCAAAGGTTATTCCCATTGGCTTTGGAAAATCTATGCAAAAGTATTGTGCTTTTCTCTAAGGGATCGGAGTCAATCAATCAAAAAGTAGACCCACTGGAGCTACAACTAACAGCAAACTGGACCAGAAACTAGAACCAAGAACCATGGATCAAGAAAACCAATGGTTATTTCCATTGGCTTTGGAAAATCTAAGCAAAAGAATCACACTTTTCTTTAAGGAATCATAATCAATTAATCAAAGTGTAGGGTAGAAGTAAAAAATATCATAGAATGATCACTTTATCATCATCATTATCAACATCAATATCTTCATCCAATTAATGAGGTTCAGCTTTATAAATCCTTATCTTCATTTGTTCCTCCAAGTGTTGCATGAGTTGTTCTCTATTTTTTTTTAGCATAACTTCTATTCATGTTATCTTAAACATATCATCATTCATTCTTACGCTTTTTACATTAATCTTATCTCTTATGATTGAAATTTCTATCCTTGTAAATTTCCACACTTCCAAATCTATTTTGTGTTGACTTATCATCAATTGATAGATCTTACTACAACAATCTATTTAATACAAGCATTTTAAATTTAACGCTCATAATTTCTCATTCATCTTAACATTCTCATATATGTCACGCTTACTAGGCTACTATTGACTTTTATACCCTTCTTAGCTGCATTAAAAGTATAAGAAAGAAACAGAACAGCATTGTCCTTCAATCAAACATAAACACAATACATAAGATAGATGAGTGTAGACATAAGGGAAAGAAGATATTGGGGAGGCTATGAAATCAATATATGTATTCCTATTCCAACTATTTTATCCAATCCACACATTACTAACCTTAACCGCATAATTAAAACAATAACAACACGGTGCTATACATAATAATCCCATGGCATCATTTCATTTAACGGATATAGTGTGGTGTGTGTAGATGCAGTGGGGAGAGGGGGCAAATCTTAAAAAAATATTAGTTCATGCACCACAGATATGTTCATACCTGTACTCAAAAAAAAGCTTTCTTCCATCAATAGCAAGTCCATTCTCTCCAATACCATCCATCATACTACATGCAGCTTCCTACATAAAAATAATTTAGAACATACACAGTTGATAATGTGGCTGTAGAAACTGTTAATGCACTAGTTCATACCACAGAGGGAAAGTCAATAAAGGCAAAACCACGAGAAACACCAGAATTGCGTTCTTTTATTACACGCACATGCCGAAGAGGTCCCCATTCAGCCTGAAAAACAAAGAAAAAAACTTGGCTGAAAAATATAAATATAAGGAATGAATTAAAGGAATTCTTTCTAGGCCAAAAGATCATACAAGCATTTGATACAAGTCTTCCTCAGTTGTCTTCTGGGATAAACCCTTTACAACAACTGTTGCTGATGGGGACTGCAATTTTAAATTTGTCCTAATATCAGCAGGTGATATCGGTAAAAAGGCAGTAGTATTAACATAGTAGAGAAGGATAACACTACCACAGATGAATTACTGAAGTGTTTCTCATCATGATCATAGTCCCATCGGTTCTCACTTCTTTCATAACGTCTGTCATCATATATGTCCTCTCTATAACTACGACGTCCTCTAGGAGATCTAGATCTCGACCGATCATCACGTCCACGAGATCGAGAGTCATAGCGCCTATCATATGGGCTCTGACCTCTTTCCCAACTCAAACCTCGCTTTTCTCGTTCCAATTCACGAGAATCATGTCTTCGCCAACTACTTTCCCTTCTTCCTCTATCTTGATCAGACTCATATTCATACCGGCCAATATCATAATCTCTTTCCCCCCGATGCCTAAAATCATATTGGTCGCCAGCATCATCACGATCTCTAGTCCCCGTCCTACCATGCCTTTCAAATGCATAGTCCCGATAACCATCCAAATCATGATAGTTATCCACAGGGCGATATCTATCATGAAACCGGTCAATTTCATGAAAGGAATCGATTTCATGATACTTTTTTGGATCATGGAAGTTATCAATGTCATGAAATGACGCAGGTCGTCTAGAATCTTTGTTGAGGCTATCTTCATCATCGAAGTTTCTCCTTCTAGATTGAGGCCACATGCCAGAAACTGGCACGGGTGGATAAATATCCCGGTCAACCATCTGCCCTGGATATGCACTCCGTGAATAAATCGGGTCCCTTGAAAACCTTTCATCAGGACCCCTCCTACCACCAGATCCACCAGCCCTGCCAAATTAATTGCAGTAAAGTGGAAAGAACAAAGCAAAGTAACAACTGCATAAGAAATTAGAAAAATTTAAATGATGTTACGAAATGAAGAAGCATATGGAAGATTAGACCATTGTAAGGTATTTTAGTTAACCAGTAAAACCATTAGCATGCTCCGCTAGAAGCAATTTTAACATATTCGTGCAAAAAATCATCCATGCAGCTAACTTAACTCACCTGAAATCTGGCTCATGCGCTGCACCATATCCCTCCAATGCCTGTAGATTAAACAGAATAAGCCATGTCAGCAACAAATCGTTAAGGAAGGAGTAGGGAAATCCATTCCATATCAACACTGGCGCACTGCTTTCAAGGATAGTTCTTTAAGGAGGTTATGCCAGTAAACATGAAGGGGTCAAGCACATGAGCCATTAAATCTTCTACATCACCCGGCATAACTAAAAAAGAAGAAAACTGCAATTACGCTGTTAGTATCCCATCCTTGTTGTAAAGCATAACGCCCCGGATCCATTTCTTTCAGTCTGCACCACTGCTATCCTGCAAATTGGAAGGTTCTTGATAACCTCTCACAGAGTTGCACGCTGTTTGGATATCTGTCCTGTAATTGATGCACAAACAGACTATTATGCAATTTTCAATGGAGAAACAACCCTCAAAAGTGGCCAGCCAACGTAATGGATTCTTCAAACCAAGACGTCCAATTAACATCCCATCTTCAGGCTTTTAGAACACAGCCGGTAAAAGATTCATATAATACAAAGCATTTGTAGCCAATCACATCCACCAATAGTTTAAGAATAGGCAAGAAATTGAAAGCATATTTGATATTCTATGGAATCGCTGTTTAATAATGGAATAATGATGCCAAGAGAAATTAATTTAAAAAGGTATGCATTGACACAACAATAAAGGACCACTTATTAAAATTATAAACAAACCAAAAACCACATCAAATTTGGATTTGGACTGTTTTGACGAATATTTAGTTTCAGAAAATTAAATGCATTTTTTACTCTAAATTTCAAGTTCACCAGAAATAGAATGTTATTTCTAATGTAGAATTTTCTGGATTTTTTGCTCTCCATCCAAACCAGTCAAACATAGAAGAGAGAAAAGTTGTAGAGCATTCCATCCAAATTAGTAGAAGTAAAAGCTAGTATGAGAAAGTTAAACCAAGACGTAAGAGTTAATTTTGAGTGAAAAAAATTAATCATACTCCAAACATGTTTCTCTTTCAAGTTCCTGTGATTTTAAAACAAAAGAGAGGAAAAGAAAATGAGACCAAAGAGGACCTCAAAAGTTCTCAGTGGTTTTAATTAAGTTAACTTGGGCCTGCAATGATAACTAAATTGAAAATCAGGAACAATAGGAGCATCTAGAGATCACATGGTTAATGCTGAGCATAGCTAGTTTAAAAAACACAGAAATTGTATGCCTGTTAACTTTCTTCAACACAACAATCAGTTAATAAAGATGCTGGCTTTGAAGATGTGCAGCAATAATGCAAAAAAATTAAATAATTGTTAGAAAAATACAGCAAAACTTAACCCGTGCTTTAGGCAACGGACACAAAATTACATTTTTTTAAAGATTTCCCCAAGATTCACAAGTTTTCCCCTTGATATCATTTACCAAGTGCTGCAAAATTCATTCCAGTGAGTGCTACTAAACAGACTAAAATCACGATACTTCTTTTCAACATTCACTGCTCCCCATCATAAGTTATGTATGCCATTCTACGAAAAAGATTAATCAACCTTTCTATTGGATTCAAATCATGTTTTATACCCAAGGCCATCCTGTTACTTACATAAGTTCAGAACTAAACAGCGCACACATTGCGATATTTCTCAATGGAGATTCTCATACGCATCTTGAAAATAAAGATCAAATTCTTAGTACTCAGTAGAGATGAAGGTCAAGGCCAAATGACCAAGTCCAGGGGAAGTGATCCGGATCATACAACAAAAAATCCAAGGATGGCAAGTTTAGAAGGAATCTTTGAATTTCAAATATATTTCTGATAAATATGTAATTACAAGTTTAAATTGAAAAATAGAATCTTTTAATGGAGTTTGTTTAAGACTTTATAAAAGAGTTTTATTAGGAGTTAGTTTCCTCCTGTTCTCGAGTTAGTTTGGTTAAGATTTAAATCATTTCATGTTGTATTTTGCCATCAATCGACGTGATTCTTGCAATGGCAAGCATCCAAAAAATTCTCCCAAGCATTATCTAATTCAATCTTACTTTTTTTCTCTATTATTGTCTTCGGACAATAACCAATTTCATCTTGTAACATTAAATAGTTCTTCATGCTGATATATCAAAAATAAAACCTGGAATTGATGTTTGCAGTAATCCAGAAACAGGAACACTAGGCATAATTTCTGTTTGGTCTACAAAAAACAATAAAGAATGCATAATTCCTTATGTAATAGAAACCATAATCCATAGTCTTAACAAAATTCCAATCAACTCCAAAAGTAAAATCCAATCAACTCCAGAAGTGCTTTACAATTCTAGTTTCATACGATGTAATGCATGATCATTTTACATGGTAGTAACAAAGGAATATAAAGTTTGTTGGATTTGATGTATTTAAAATGCAAAGTAAAGTATTTCAAATTTATGCAGTTTTTTGGTTGAATGTAAATCAATTACAATGAAATGTTTTCTTAGGGGGAAAGATAAAAGGGTTGTGGGGGCCACGAGGTCAATGGAGCTCAGAACAACAAGAGAGAGAGAAACATTAGTGAAGTGGAAGGTGAGGACAATGGAGGCGAAGTCGGCAACGAAAGCAAGGTTACCACTAGAGGTGAGATTAACAAGGGCAAGGATGGGGACGATGATATTGGGGTAATGACTGTATCACCCGATTATTATAAATTCGGAATTCACAAAAGATGAGCTTTTTGGAGTATTCTAAATTCCTAAAAAAATACTTCTTTTTTTTGTTTTACTTCACACGAAACACTTGCAAAACTTAAAACCCATGTATTTCCTCTTACTTTACACAATTAATACACCAACCAAAATAGCTTATAGTCTCATAAAGCGACTAGATATGATAGGGATATCATGGTCATATCAAAAGATAACCAACACGCCCTTTTATCAAAAGCAAAACTAAAGAATAAAAGAAAATTACTAAGAATTTCATGTATTGGAAATATCTCCATCAAGATTTAACAAGTCAAAATCAAGAATTGACGCATTTTCTGTTAATGAGGCAAGGTGAGACATAAGCCTGAGGCAACTTGAGATGTAAGCCTTGAAAAAGAAAACTCAGAAAATATAAAAGAATTCATAAATATGACATAAATCCTTGACATATTTACTTAATTTATCATCATAAAAATATAAATCACATAATCATTAAAAAAGCAAGTATCAATTTTAGCTATTAATATAAAATGAAAAATTAAAATAAGAATCAAGATAAGTATTCACTTAAAACAAAGGGGATGTTTTGTTTGCGGAAAAAAAAAATTGCAGTGTAATATTATACTTGGAATACCTTTTAGTTATTTAGTTTAGCATAAAATAAATATAGGACTTCACATTTTCTTATTTGGTTCGAAAAAAAAAAAATTGAATTGATGTAAAATATGTGGACGAAGGGCGACAACAGCAGATGTGGGCAACAACCGTGGTAGGCAGTGGCGGGTGAGTGGCAGGCGGATGCAGGCAAATAGCAATGGGCATCAACTAGCAGCGGCTACAAGAAATACTTTACACTATACTTGGAATTCATCTGACTAAACAACTGAATTTCTGAAACTCCAACAAAAAGAAAGCAATACACTCCATTTGCAAAAAACCAAAATTGCCCCTTAAATACATCACGAGGATCAGAATCTACAGCAGCTTCATCCACATTTTTAGAACATTTAAAAGAATCATTATGTGTAAGAATTATATCATCTTTTAAGTTACATCATCACCATCTTCAAGATCTTCAAGTATTATATTTTTTTATTCTTAATCCCTAAGTTTATCATAAAAGAAAATAAAAAAAACTTATCAAAAACAACAAGAATCCCAATCTACAAGTAGGTGATCTCTCCTCCTCGCCCTTGCACACTCTGAAAGGCAAGTTCATAAGCTCTCACTCGACAAGAACCTTGTTCGTTCAACCCGCATGCAATTGAAATGCTCGGCACAAATTTAGAGTCACATTTATTATATTATATATAAAATAGTATCTAACTAACTATCTATCTATCTATCTATCTATATATATACACAATTCTTATGTACTAACAGATCTCTCTCTCTCTCTCTATCTATATATATATATATATAATGAAGCATTTATGTACATAGCACACAATTCTTATGTATTAACAGATTTAACATCTAAACTTTCATATTTACACACATAGCACTCAAATCTTTATATCACATCAAAAATAGCACTACTACAGCTTTTAAAAGTGAAATATGCTTTTTATGCAAAGATTTAAAAGCACCATAGTGTTAAGTGTGTGAACATGAAAATTAAGGTTTGAGATATGTAAATACATGAGACTTGTCTGCTGAGTATGGAAAGTTTCCTAATACAATATGTTAAATATAATATAAAATATATTAGATACATAATATGTTGATATAATTATTTTTTAACACTTAACTAGTTGAGGTGCATGCCTCAAGATGTGCTAAATTTGGAGTCAAGTATATTAAATTAGATTATATAAGATATAAAATAATATATATATATATATAATGGAGCATTTACATACATAGCACACAATTCTAATGTATTAACATCTCTCACACCTAAACTTTCATATTTACACATGTAGCATTCAAATCTTTAATATCAAATAACATCAAAAAATAGAACTATTACCGCTTTTAAAAGTGAAATATGCTTTTTTCCTGCATATGTAAATTAAGGTATGAGATATGTAAATATATGAGACTTGTCAGCGAAGTATGTAAGGTTTCCTAATATAATATAAAATATTTTAGATACATAATATACTAATATAATTATTTTTGACATTTAACTATTTGAGGTACATGCCTCGAGACGTGTGAATCAATTAAAAAAGTTCAAGCCACACTGAAATTGAGGTGGCAACCTCCAGCTATTTTCTGTGTACTAAAAGTCAAGGAACGCCACAAAGTGTGGGCTTCAATCTCTTTTTTAAACCATGACCCCTTTATACTTACTAGCAACAAACTTGAGGTAATTAAAAAAAAAGTAATTAATAGGATTTAAACTTAAAAATTGCAACTGGATAAAAAAATGGACAGTTTGAAACAAAAAAGCCAAACAACAAACAAAAAACATACAATATTAACCATTTCTCAAATATCAACAATATCTAGAGAAATCAAGTACATATAAAACCCCCAAGGTGTGTCGTTAAACAAAATCCCAAATAGCGGAAAAGTGACAATGGAAGAAGCATAGGATAGGTTGCAAAACAGTACATTTGATAATTTCATTAATTCTAGTAGCTAAATATACATATATTTAGGGTTTGTATGGGACGGCTACAACTTTTTGTAAAGGTGATTGTAACATTATTGTGGAAAACAATTTTTTTAAAGTTGCTTGGGATATTATCATTTTTACTTTTGAAAATGTTAAACACAACTACCGCAATTTAGCAGACCTGGTATAAAATGCAGCTTCTCATCACAAAATTTCAAATAAGTGGCATGAAAGAAACAACTAAAAATAATTATGGTGGCAATCTAAAAAACTCAGTGAGAAACTACCCCAAATAGATCCCTAGTTTTGATGTGTGCTAAACAATTCACTACGGTAGAGTATCTAATTATCGTCTTAGCATTGTACAAGAATCCAAGGGTGAAAAAAGATAATCAATAGAGATACCAAAAATTTTTACGTGAAAAACCCAGAAAAAGAAAAAACAACGGGGTCTTGCCTAGTTGAAATATCTCACTATGAGTTGGTGATTACAGGTACAACACATTGTCCTACAAGTAAGAAAGGTTATATTGTTTCTCAAGTTACAATGTTGGTGAGTGCAAAAACTTGTTGCCTCTCGACAGGAAGCGGTAGTGGCAAGGAGTGAATGTTGGAGCTTCGGTGCACCGTCTTCGGAGTCGGCACAATGTTCGAGATGATGCACAACTTCGTATGTTGCTATGTGATTCTGCAATGTTAGTGGTTGCTTCGCACAATGCTTTATTGTAAAAAGCAGGCGACGGGTGATGATAGTTGACAATGGCCGACAGAAGGCGATTAGAGATGGCCAAAGGCGGCGGCTGTCGAACACTGCAGCAATTGGAGTTGTCGAAGACAACGGTGGATGGAGTTGGTTGGAGTCAACAGAGGTTGAAGTTACCCAAGATGGCAGAGGTCGGAGTTGCCTGAGGCAGCGGCAGTTGGAGTTGCCGGAGGCCACGGCGCTCGGAGTTGTCGAACGCTGCGGCGCTTGGAGTTGCAGGAGGTCGCGGCGCTCAAAGTTGCTGGAGAAGGCTACGGCGCTGTCTGAGTGGTGATAAACTGTGGTTGGCGGTGGCCGGTGAGCAGTGGTCAACAGTGGTCGACAGCAGTAGGCGGTTGCAGAAGCAAGAGCTTTTAGCATGATCATCAATGCGGAATTCTAGGCTTCAACTCCCTCTTCTACAGACTCTAGTCTTCCTCTTGCCCAGAGTCTAGTCCCCTCCTCAAGAGGGGGTATAGCTCTGTTTATAGAGTGAGTTGTCAAAAAGGACGACATAAGGACTGCTCCTGATTGGAAATCCTGAAAATATCACCTTAATCGGATCACGTTCGATGGACATTTAAGTGTCTTAACAATATCAGAATTGAATGATCTTGCACTCACTGGATTCGTCTTATTAAGATGCCCGATTTGACTATAAACTTGCAAAATTCTTAACCTTGTAATTATACCCAAAAAGATCTCAAAAGTGGTGTAATTGCTTGTTTTGAGTTTGACTTCACTCGACTTAGTCTGATTTTGGTATTGTTGGATCCATCTCATTGAGTCAGTCAATTTGACTGTAAGTTTGCTAAAATCAGAGTTTTGAATGACTTTTTAATCAAAGTTTGAACGTTTCATGCCCAAAAAATTGCTTCTAGATTTGTATCATGCCTCAAGATTTGTGTCAGAAGATGGAAATTTGTAATGGTGTATCAAATCTAACTCATTTAAAAATATTTTCCCACATTCAATCAAGTTAATGGCATTAGTTTGTTACTTTATTGTAATCATTTCAAAATTACTTTTAGTCAGCTTACTATAGCTATATCGTCTTTTCTTATAATTGTTTTGTCATGGTTAAGATATTTCAAGGATTAAAATCAAGAGTTGAATGATTAAATCAAATCTTCTCTCTAAATACACCAAAATATTTTCCCCTTAGCACTTTCAATTCTAGTATTGAACTTAAGAATAGGACAGATGATTTAACATAAACCATTTTCGCAATTTATTATACCATGCAACTACCAAAGTTTAGAAAGTGATAATTCTAGTTTTTTTATCAATTCATTGTATTCAAATTTCTAACAAAATATCTAACATCTTTAAAATTTATTTTAATATCTTCAAAACAACATCAGTATTGTATAAAAAATGTGGCATCAAATAAATACAGTATGATTTTTTTTTAAAAAAATATTCATTATTTCTCATTTGAGACTAATTTAACAACATAGAAGTCCTAAAAAGTATGTTGGTATAGAAATTTCTCGCAGCATATAATAATATAAGAATACACAACATTAAAAAATATATGTGTCTTTTAAATATTCTTTAAAAAGTAGAAAGAGAATTCCAAGAAAGTAATACAAACATTATCCAATAATAGCACCAGAATTATTGATTGATAAAACGCCCCAAATAATCTCAGTTAGAATATTCCAAAACAGAGGAAAATGAAAAATATCTCACCGCTTGTAAACCTGTTGAAGCATTTCTACCCTCAATTTAGCATTTTCTGATCTAGGAATATACTATCAATTAAAATAAAATGTGCTTATATAGATACAAATTTTCATGCACACCAATCCACAAAGAAACACAAGAAAACAAATATAAACAAATCCATCCTATAATAAATGTATGCCTGAAATAAAATCAAATACGCACGGTGCACATGCATAATAAGATTCTGAACACACGTCCAAAAACATATGATACACACCCATCACATATAAAATGAAAAACCTAAATTTAACACAGCGTATAGACTAACCAAATTCCACAAACAATAAAAGTGTTGTATTAACGAATTCAGCCACTGTTTAACTTAGTCCAAGACGAATTTTCATGATGAGTAAACACATCATCACATAAATATTAAACAATGCTTTGGATAAAGTATACATCTTTTAAATGTTGTTGTGATGTTATCGTCAAGGATAAATCAATATACATGATGATGATATTAAAATGTATAATATCAATATGAAAATAATGTAACATCAATAAAAAATCAGAAAATATGGTCCAGAGAATTACCTCTTCATTTTAACATGGCTTCCTTTTAAATAAGAAAATAAATAAAGCAACTGATTCTACTGTTGGCACGAGTCCATCCTATATAAACTCCACAGAAGTTAAGATGCCTAAAATTACTTTAATGCAATTCCAACTCCTAGCCCAAAAATTCATTCTTACCTTAGTATGCGTAGTATTTCACAATAGCACTTTCAAGAAATATTTTTTTTTCAAAGAACTCTAAGCACTGTCGCATATCAGCAGGCTTGACCTTCTGAATAACAATTAATTACAACATCTAATGCAAAATCTTACTCATCTCAAAACCAAACGTTCTTCCAGATAGCGCAGGACATTAATTTAATCGCAAAATGATAAAACCCAGATTTCATAGGATTTTCATCATTTAGTGTTAGATATAGAGCAGGATTTAAGCTGGATTTAACCTAAATCTTGCCAGACGGTCATTTTGGACAAAATAAAGCCTCGGATTTGATAAATCCGGACTTCATATATTTCAGCCATAAATCCCCGATTTACTAAATCCCGTGAATCGGTGGCTTTAGTAAATCCGGGACGGGCGGTTCGCGCGAAAAAAAAAAGACGTGAAGTTACCTTCCTCAATGGTTTCGGGTAGGAGAAGAGCAGGAGGAAAAAAATGGGAGTTTCGGGTCTCTGTAAGCCGCGATCCCGTCGTTGCGTTCACAGCTAGCTCCAACTGCGACTGTATCGCGAGGGTTCGGTGACGAAGGCGACGGTTTTACGGTTTTGGACGAAAGAGAGAGGAGTGAGGGACATGCGAGGGTTTCGGGGAGAGAAGCAATACATCCGGAGAGAAGCAATATATCAGCGGGGAGAGAGAGGGGTAATGCAGCCGAGGCCCGAGGGTTTCTATTTCATTATTTAAGTTGATTTTCTTAATTTAATTTTATTTTAAGTTTAATTTATTACTTTAATTGATTAATGATGTAATAATTGATAATTAATTAAAATATTATCATATTAATTATGCTTATATAAATAAAAAATAATTATTTAAAATATTATCAGATTAATTATAATTAAATAAATTTATTTATTAGAAATTCCACAGTATTGTAATTTGCAAGATTTAGGTGTATTTATGTACATTAAATACTCAAAACTTATTTAATTGGCTATGAAATAAACTAATAATTTGGTTCATTTACATGAATGCTACATAATTTCATCCTTAATAATTAAATATTTATATTTACGTACAAACAACTCAAATTCTTAGTAGCACGTAAAAATACCACATTCACAATCTTTTAAAAAGTGGAATACACATGTTCGTGTGTAATTTTATGAAATCAAGATGCGATAAAATCTAAATATAAAACTTTCGGTGTTACGTATGTAAATACATAAGACTCATGTAGTATGTATGTAAAATTCTCAAATATTGGTCTTGAGAGTAGTTTTAAAGCTAGGGCGAGGTCTTTTAACCAATCAAGAAAATTGCATTGGCAACTTTAAACGAGTTTGATGTTTGGTAAGGATCTAATCGAATATATTTTATAATCATGAATATGTTTGTGAGACCAACACATCGTCGACGTTGAAGATGTCGTAAATGATATTCATGCGTTAGCCGACTTTTCTTAACTTCAATCTTCTTTTATCAGTAAGGTCAATCTAGTCCGCAATATTTAATGTTTATTAATTCATTGATTCTCTTTTTACCTCAAATAAATCACTAAAATATTTTAAAAAAAAGTGTTTATGATCAATTTCAGTAATTAAAGTTGAATGTTTTTTTAAATATTTTAAATTTATTAGACCTTGATGATTTATAAATACAATGCATACTACAGTGGTGTCAAGTTCATGCTTCATGACTTAATCATGTAGTCATCCCTAGGGATGTTATGTTTTATCCCATTATCCAAGCATCACTAGGAGAAGCAATGCGCAATATTTGATTTATTTGATTATAGATTACAATTTTCACATTAAACATCTAAATGACCTTAGATTAGAGTAATATTAGATTTGATAGATTTCTCTCATCAAGGCGTTCATTAACTACAAGCACACTATATTCAAAATTTATAAAATATTTTAAATAGTGTTGCAATGTTTTCAACCGTACTTAGGATTTATTTGGGGCAGTTATGGCTATTTGAAGAAGCAGCTATAAAACTGCACTAGAATAAGTTATTGTTCAAAAAATTACAGAAGTTATTGCCAAATTTTTATTTATTTCAAAAAATCAGAACTTTATTTTCTAGCAGTCACGACATGTAGCCTGGGTAGGTTGTAAAATGCATATTTCCGCCACAAATTTTTGAGAAACAGATAAAATATAATTTTGTCATACACAATAATATTACGGTGCAATGCTGCACAACTGCCTCATATGCACCCTTAAATTGTTTGTTTTACGCTCATTTGAACTCAAATTGGAACACTTCTAGCGTCATTGATTTGTCACATCAATACATTTTGTTTTATTATAAATTTGCCAAAATTAAAATTCAAATAGGTGTAAATTTAATTTCAAAAATTTTAAATTCAGCCATTTATGAACCTAAGCCGGCCAGATGAATTTTCTAGCGACATATCAATAATCATCAACATGTTTTACTTCATCAAAACAATAAACTACATTATAATCACAAATATTTAAAATTCATACTCATCAATTAAACTATTAAAATATAAACACAAACTATTTAATATTCTTCATCTAAATTTATGAATTAAAACATAAATTAGTTATTTTGAAATTTGTAATACTTAATGCTAAAGCTCAAAATATATCAAGATGAAATTATAAATGAACAATTTGAAAAATTTAAAAATAAAAATAAAAATCATGGAAAACAGAGTTTTTCCTCTTTATTAATTCACAAAATAAAAATATAATTATTATCCCATTACTTGCAATTAAAGCATGAAGTTTGCAACCAAGGCTACATAAATTACAAAGAAATGTCAATGTGACAAATTTATTGATAAAACATTTGAAATATATAGAGGATCTCTGACCAGCATTTGAACAAATGTCAATGAATGTGATAAATACATGAATTCCAAGTAATAATCAAACTAAGGTCTCAAATGTTTGAATAAACAATATGCAAAAGATGAGATAGGAAAGAATACATAATGGTTTTTAACGAAAAGATGGGCAAAATATTAAAGCTTAGAGGAAATAAAAGTATAATCTCAAAGTTTATTGGGAGAAGAATGACCAAACAACCAATGTCAATGATATGAAGGAGGGGTAAAAGAGAAGACAAAATGAGTAATAGCAATCAACTAGTTAGATGTCACCAACTTCAAATGGTTCCACAAATCTTCATCCTCAAAGTTGAGCTCCTGAAAGACAATAGAAGAGATAAAATGTTATCGAACAATTCTGAGGATTGATAAATAATGAACAGAAGAAATTTTTTTGAAAACTAATAATGGACATATAGAACTTCTAAAAAAGGCATATATTTGAAGGGATCCGCAACCCCAATTCGATGAAAAAATATTACGTCTGGAGTCCGGACGCGAGCTGCGCGTGGACAACGGACGTGATACAGCGGAGGTCCAAGCTCCCGCTCTCGGGCTCATGCCATGGGAACTTAAAAAAAAAATAGCAAAAATATACAAACTCAGGACATACCAGTAGAGACAGTAATAATGAATCAAAAGGCGACAAGAGAGGCGGAGACAAATGCCTATGAATGGTGATGCAAACAATACAAGCTTGAAAAAACCTAAGCAATGAGGAAAAATCATGTTATTCCACCATCATTCAAAAGAATGATTCATGCAATGATAAATGGCGGTAAGGGAAAAGAGTTGTTACATCCTAGGTTAGGATTATTAGTGGTCCTTTCACATGACCTCAACCATTTGCCACCCCTAGGGAACTTGCCAAAGCTAACTGATTAGGACCCAAGGATTGGGGGTTGACACAAAGAACATGGAAGAGATGAGTCACAATTTTAGGAATTATGAAGTCACAAAAAGCAGAAAAGTGTGTGCATGTGGTTGGTTGGTGGCGAGCAAACAAATGCAAGCATGCAACTAGAAATTAGCAATTAGCAGCCAATGTACAAAAATATGATGATGGTGACTAATTTTAATTGGCTTGTGATGCTATGTTAAGAATAAAGATTTCGGGATGCCTCGCTGATTAAATATGGGCGTCAATATGAGCATACATGATGAATATGAGAGAAAATAAATAGAGATGAGAATAATTACAATTATAAGAGAATAAATGCACATTATCCAAAATAAGATATTCTTTTAAAATAACTCTTTCCTAGTATCATTTTTCTAAATAACACAATTAACAATCTCCAATCAAAGCATGATCATCATCATTGCTATTGTCTCAATTATTTGAGGTAAGCTTTATGAATCCTTATTTTTCATTCAATATTGATGAGTTTTACCTTAAGTGTCAAAATCTTTTTATCACAAAATTATTTTGACAACTTCTATCCATGTTCCCTTATATCTTCGATTTCTTCTTTAACTCTCTAAAATTAACTTTAACTAAACTTCAAATAAGTGCATTTTTCACCCTTCATTGTACATAAAAAAGCTATTTGTCTTTTTTCAACTATCTTATCTTTCATAGAAGAAACTGTGACCATTCATCTAATATAATCATCAATTAATTTATAGTTTCTAATTTTATCACACAATCATCTTAATATTCTCAATTCTATCACAATAAACTAATCTCAAGGCTTTTTTTAGTGTCCAACACTCAACTCTATACAGATCCATAAACCTGTTTATAATTTTTATAAATTTTGCTTTTAAATTTCTATAAAATCCTCTTATTACATTTAACCACTTAGCCTTGACATTGGAAGCGTATCCTTAAATAATATTTCTCCATCTGATGCTTAAATATACTTATATCACACCAAGGTATTCCTTTATCTTCTTATAATATTATTTAATAATTTTCACATTCACTAAAATTATATATTATATACTTAATATTTATTTCAATCATAACCAACAAATAGTAGTGGGCAGAATATTGTTCTAGCTCACGACGATCGAGTTGCTTCAGGGTCTTTGCAAACTCGCCCGACCACATCACTTCGGTGAGAAGCACGGGAATATGCTCCACCTCAGGAGACGGCGAGAACCAATTCTTATCAGTATCGGCAAGAACGTATTTGTGGTATGGACTCATCCAAACCTTTCCGCTCCTGTCACGGGTAGGAACCCATCTAGCTGGAGAGCCTTCCCTCTTACGAGAAAAGGGAGGTGGCACATTAGGACTTTCCATGGGAGCGTTGCCCTCTCATCGAGTCCCTTCCTCCCCAGATGGTTGTTGGACACTGGATCAGCAAGGGGCAACGAGGCTTCTGATCCTAGGGCAGTCACCATCTCCCTGAAGTCGGCTCCGCCCCCGGCTGTTTAGAACTTCTCCGCGACGCAGAACCTATGTCCTGCTCGAACTCAGATAAAATCACTGGAAACGAGCGGCTAACCACGACCCTGGCTTGCAAGTCCAAGAAGGTGCAGCCAACCGATTGTGCCATCTTAGCTAGTTCCTTCCCTCGGATTGAAGGTGTTCCTCCGGGCGCATTCGGCGACGTAGCGGGCTCACTAGTTCGAATGCATGCATCCAAAAAATCAACTCTTGCACCAATGATAGTAACCTCTCCATTCGAAAAACCGTTGAATTACGATGGAGGTCTTAGAAGTGAGAACAATAAACTCCACACCTGCAGTGTCAACACCAGCTGTTGTAATCCCACCAGTATCTTGGCCTTTGATAGACCCAACCTTCAATCGGGCAAGCTTCGCTTGAGGTTTCCACCCAGCAACTCTCGCCTCACTCGCTTTCTCCCTCTCAATCTCTCTGGCCTCTGACGCCTCCCATAGTTCCTCAGTCATATGACCGTATTTTTAGAACGAAGAACTCGATCGATGATCCTCAAGTCCGCATATTGGGGGTCGAGAGTTGATGGCCTTCAATCCTGGCAGCATCGACAACCAAGTGCCACGGCAAAGTCTAAACTTTGCCCTCCATTACATCTGAGGAAGCCACTCTGACTCCCCAATCGCCTGAACAAGAGTTGATAAGAAACTACATCTTCTAATCCAATAATTTATTATCGAGTCCCAACAGCTGGAATCGATAACCGGTCGATATCTTCCCGGGCAACCCTGAACGTGAACAAGTAGCTGAAAAAGATTGGTCAGTCAAGGGATTTCCACTCGATGACCAAAAACAACGTAAGACATGATAGTCGTGATTGAGTTCAGCAAGACATGAGCAGGAA